CGTAACGCAAGCCTATTTTTCAAACTTTCGTCGTCTGTGGGATTTGAACCCTAGACCTGCTACTTGGAGAGGGTGACAACTTGACCACTTCACTAAGCTGCCACACCTCTTGCATTATATGCATCTATTGCCAGGTCTCTATATAAGCTTTTTGTTTTTCCAACTGCAATATTTAATAATTCAGGAAACATGTCTTTAACACGATTCGGTAAGTTTTCAAAATCGATAGTTAATGGATAATTTTTCTGTTGGCCATCTGGAATAGTATGAAATTCGGCATTATGAAGCCAACAATATTCATGCTGGTTTATAACATCTGGAGAACCAGAAAGTGTTATTAAATATGATTCTATATGAGGCGGAAGTGGTTTAGGAAAATTCACTTTACAAAAGGGGCATCGTCCGTTAATTGTAATATTATCTATAAAAATTATGTATTTTATTTAAATAAATACAAGCAATTATGTATATAAAAGCAGCTAACTTTTAATAAACATTTATAATTTTATCATACTTTCATTGTTTTCACAATCATTCTCGCTTTCAAGTTTACTGTCATCCGAATCTTCAACTTCAAATTTTGCATTTTCATCTCTCTTCATTCTTTTATAAAATTCTAGTTTAATGGGCGCAGTCATTCTTTTAAAAAAATCTGGTGACACCTTTGCAGCTACAAGGGATTCTAGGATAACCAAATTTTCAGACAACAACCAATCCATAAAACGTAAAGCATGCCGAGTTTTTCTTTCGGTACTTGAATCTATTTTCAAGATAGATTGGATTTTTGCTGAGATCCATCACCATTTGCTTTTTTTGGATGAATCTTTTCCTAGAGAAATATTATGCTTAATTTTATACTTGATTTTTTTTGTTTTATATCCTTTTGGAGTATTTTAGTTGACAAAATTTTTATATGAATTATACGCTTGTTTTAAATTAAGAAAATGTTTTAGTTTTTCTAGGTCAAGACGATTCTGGGCTGAAGATAGAAGATCATCTTTTCTCTTCCATTAATCAAGGCCCTTTTTTATTGAATTTGCATTATTGCCAAATTCAATACTATTATTGTTTTCACTTATTACCAATTGATTTGTTAAACGAGTTACTTCAACATTTGAGTTAAGTAATAAATCAACAATTTTTTGCCATTTAGCGGTAGGAACTATTTTAAAATATTAAGGTAATATGGTATTATTTTCAAAAATTTTGATAAGTCTTTATTACACCGAGTTTTCACAAAGTGATTTTAATAAATTGCCTTTTTTCTCTTTTTCTAGTTTTGATTTTTTTACTTGTCTAAAGTTATTATCATTTGTTTTTTTTTTGATTTGGACCACTGAATCTTTAAAAATTTGTTAAATTTGAAATAATTTTCAAAAAAAATAAAAATAAAAATTTATACTTAAAGAATCTTCGACTAAGCTAAAATTTTCTATTTGTTCTAATTCATTGCCAAAAGTATTTTTTGCTTTTTTTATCCAAATATCAACAGGATATTTATTGGCAAATACCCAATTTTGTAATGTAGACAATAACAATAAACAATATCTTTTATTGTTATCATTCTGACTTTTCAACTTTTCGCCATACCCAAAAACAGAATAAAGCTTCAAATTTATGTTTTTCCGGATTTTATCAGGGTCTTCACCAATCATTTTATTGAACTTTAAAGGGGTTGCTTGCTGTTGTAACGTAGATACGTGTTGGTTATTATTATATTGAATTACACTAGTATTCAAAGCTGTTGGGATATCAACAATGTGTTGGTTATTATCATATTGAATTACACTAGTACTTGAGGCTGTTGAGATATCAACAAGTTCACTAAAAGATTGAACTTTCTTATTTCTTAAATTTTTTTGACTAAGGTTTGTGAAGTTTCTCTTAATTTCTGCTTTTCCATCAGTAAATATAATACTTTCTAAATTTCCTGAACATGCTCTTTTAAGTTTTACTAAAAGAGTTAGAAACTCTTTAGTAATAGGGTATTTGTTTTGTATTTTCATTTTTAAAAAAAAGATTTTATCATTATACAAATAAACATCTCAAAAAAAAACTTTATATAAAATAAACTTTATCTTAGATTTATCTTTAGTAAATGCGGATGCATGCACTTGCACTTTATTGTTAAATGTAGAGATGCGAACCGTTTGTTGATCCTAGCAGTTTTTGGCTCACATTATGGTTAATTTGGGCTAAAAACTGTTAGGATTGGCATCTCTAGATTGCAGAACCGAATCCTATTCCGCATTAGGTTGGGATTAGGGTTTGGGTACAAATATTCTAAATGAAAAAAATGCTGCATAACATATATAGAATTAGTGCCACTTATAAACTGCTGTCTTACATTGAAAATTATATAAGCAATACAATAGAATTTTTTAATGATATAGGCTGCCATTAATTGAAATAAAGATTGATATTTTTTAAAAAATTAATGCCTTAACCTTAATAGCCCATATATTGATGGATTGTGAAGCTACCTTAATTATTTAATAGTATAAGAAAGCTTATGATCTAAGCTTTCTTTTGAATACTAAATCATCAAAACTCATCAAGATATGATCTGCGAAAGTTAAGGCATTAATTTTTTTTAAAATGTTCTGCCTTATTTCTATTGACGGTCCGTAATTGCAAAATTTCTGCAGAAGATACAAATCAAAATTTGAAGCTAGACATCACCTCAATTTAGAACAGCATTCCATTTAAGTGTTAATTCATAAGATACAAAACATTTATTAAGCATTTAAAATAAGCTATTCAAGCCCATGAATATAAGCTGTGTAGTAGTAAATCTGTATTATAAACCTGTGTTTATGTAATATAACTTTTATATACTAATACAGTCAATAAGCTATATTACGTAATAAAGTTTTATATTTATTTTAGGGACATTGAACCTGCATTTATATAATGTAATATTATATACTAATACGGTCAAGTAAGTCAGTGTTACATTATAAAGTTTTATATTTATTTTAGAGACATTGAACCTGCATTTATATAATGTAACATTATATACTAATATGATCAAGTAAGTCTGTATTATATAATAAAGTTTTATATTTATTTTAGGGACATTGAACCTGCGTTTATATAATGTAATATTATATACTAATATGGTCAAGTAAGTCAGTGTTATGTTATAAAGTTTTATATTTATTTTAGGGACATTGAACCTGCATTTATATAATGTAACATTATATACTAATACAATCAAGTAAGTCTGTATTACGTAATAAAGTTTTATATTTATTTTAGGGACATTGTATCTGCGTTTATATAATGTTATACTAATACGGTCAAGTAAGTCTGTATTACGTAATAAAGTTTTATATTTATTTTAGGGACATTGTACCTGCGTTTATATAATGTAACATTATATGAGATCTTTGCTAGAAAATTACCCTTCGAGATTTTCCGATCGGGCCAATTCGGAAAAGCTTAGACCAGAATCCACTTCTTATTCATATGTAAATCATCTTTTGCTTTATTGATTCGATAGTTTATTAAATAAACTGTCGAACTAGTAAAGTAAAAAAATAGTTTATATATAAATAAGAAGCGGCATTTTGCCCAAGCTTTTCCGAATTGGCCTGATCAGAAAATCCCGAAGGGTGATTTTTCTAGCAAAGATCCTATATACTAATACAGTCAAGTAAGTCTGTATTATGTTATAAAGTTTATATTTATTTTCGGGACATTGAATCTGCGTTTATATAATGTAATATTATATACTAATATGATCAAGTAAGTCTGTATTGTATAATAAAATTTTATATTTATTTTAGGGACATTGTACCTGCATTTATATAATGCAACATTATATACTAATATGATCAAGTAAGTCTGTATTGTGTAATAAAAGTTTATATTTATTTTAAGGACATTGTATCTGTGTTTATAATATAACGTAATATACTAATATGATTAAGTAAGTCTGTATTACGTTATAAAGTTTTATATTTATTTTAGGGATATTGAACCTGTGTTTATATAATGTAACATTATATACTAATATGATCAAGTAAGTCTGTATTATGTAATAAAGTTTTATATTTATTTTAGAGACATTGTACCTGCATTTATATAATGTAACATTATATACTAATATGGTCAAGTAAGTCTGTATTACATTATAAAGTTTTATATTTATTTTTGGGACATTGAACCTGCGTTTATGTAATGTATAACATTATATACTAATATGATCAAAGTTTTATATTTATTTTAGAAATATTGAACCTGCATTTATATAATGTAACTTTATTGTCCGATGTGTGTATGTCCACAAAAATAAGGGGTTTGATTGGTTGATCTGATAAAAACAACCATTTTTCCAAAAATATTATTTTAAAATGTAACTTTATATAGTAGTTATACAGAAGTAAATCTGTATTACGTAATAAAGTTTTATATTTATTTTAGGGATATTGAACCTGCATTTACATAATAGTAGCTTTATATAGTTATATAGTCAAGTAAGTCTGTATTATGTAATTTATTTTAGGGACATTGAACCTGCATTTATATAATAAAACTTTATATAGCAATATGGCAAGTAAATTTGTATTATGTAATAAAGTTTTATATTTATTTAGAGATATTGAACCTGTAATTTTATAAAGTTTTATATTTATTTTAAGGATATTGAACTTGCATTTACATAATAGTAACTTTATATAGTCATATAGTCAAGTAAGTCTGTATTATATAAAATTTTCTTTAGAGAAAAAATACCTACGCACTAATATTCTTTATACTCACATATTGAATTCAATAGAACTTGAATAGCTTATTATGAATACTTAAGGAATAAAATCAAATTATATATAGCAAATTTATAGGCTTAAACTGCCAACCTATTTAAGTATTTTATAGACTTTGAATAGCAGATTAATAAATGTTTTTTATGTACTAAATTATTACGAATACATTTTTGATACATACCAAGTTGAATAAAATTATTTATTACTAAATTAAGAAGCAAGTATGAAGGCCAATTTTATTATATGTCATTTTATATCACAACAGCTTAAAATTGTTTATTCACGAATTTCAATTTTAAAGCCTATATTAATGTAAAAAATAACACTATTATTTGGAAGTAAGCATTATGGATCAAAGAAACATTATATCATAGTAAATATCTCTAAACCTGAATGCCTTATTAAGTTGCACTGAAAATTAAATCATCTTGCACGCATTAGCTAGTAATTCTAGGCGATTTTAGGCAGGTGTAATTTAAGTCTTTTTAAAAACAAAAAAAGAATAAAAAGATAAGCAAAAAAAACTAATACTTATCTTAACAAGTTCACACCCAAGTCACCAATTTGGCATCAGGTTCATGACTTGTGGAGCAAGATCTACAATAAGAAAAAAAATTAAACATAAAGTACTAATAATGGTTTGCTAATCATATAAAGGTAATATAGAGGCACACAAAAAAAGCAATTTTCTAAATATATATTTTTCCCTTATAATTGTAACTAATCAAATGCTAACTCTAACTCTATGTGATGAATTTTCGGTAAAATAACAATCGGTGTAGTAAGCAGCACTAAAATTAATGCGTATGAACTAAAAAATAGTTAATGTTGTTTACTCCTAAATTAATGCGAACGAAATAAATTAATTTAGTGGTAGCTTATCTTAAATTAATAGATACCACATATAATTGTTATTACCTTTATTTGAATAAACGCAAATAATCATAAACTTAAAGGCAATGACGATGATTTTCTGCATTTTACGAAATCAGGCAGTAAATACGAAATTGTCACAGGAAGTAGGAATATTCATAAATTCTAATTCATGAATTTTGCAGAATTTAATTTTATCACGAATGGAATCACAGGTGAAATCGACAATTTATCATCACAGAAATCATCATCCCTGCTTAAAGGCAATTTGTTTTAAAAACATCTATTAATGAAATTTGTACACCACATTAAGAATTCAAATAAAAGCAAACTTGCCTTACGTTGATTAATAAATTATATTATGCTTACTACTAATTGAACGAATCTAAATAAATATATATATATATATTATGTAATCATAATATAATATCAATGATATATACTTCTCGATAGATTAATGCCAATGAATAAATATAAAGTAGCTTATCTTAAAATTACATCGATCAAAAATCAATGCGAATTAAATCTAACTAAAAGGTATAAAATAATAATTGTAAGTATCAATAATATTAAAAGCAAAATACATCTATTAATAAAATTAACGCTTACCCATTAATGAATAATTCAAATAAGAAATATAAATAACGGTTAATAATATATGTAGACTTGAGTGCCTTGCCTTTAATCGATTGATAAGACATACTGATGACTATCAACTAAATCAATCGAATTTTAACGAATTTAAATAAGAGTATTATGTAATTATAAATATATCTATTTGAATAGCCTATCTAAAAAAAAAAAGAAAAATACATCGATTAATTAATAAATATGTATAAGTGCTTTTCAAATAAAATAACACGAATGAATAAATAAAGTAACATATCTGTTGTCCTAATAATATCGTTTAATGAATTAGCTCTCCAAATAAATATGATTAAAATGAAATAATTACAGTACAATAAATTTAAGCGCTTATCTTAAATATACATCGATTAGTAGATATAGCTTTGATACTCCTTTACTAAATTAATGTAAATTAAATTAATAAAAGATAAGAGAGGTATTATAAATATCCATAGTCTTAAACGTAACTTATTTTATGCTTACCCATAAATGATTCTTAAATAAAATAAGAGGTATTACGTAGCAAAAGAATCGAACTTAGATAAGAGATATTACGAGACAATAAATTCTTAAAATATATGTATATTAATAAAATTTCTATATGCTTACTCACGAAGTCAGCAAAAATATCTTGTATTAGTCCAATATAGATTATTAAAGGTTATTAGAAAGCAGTAGTTGAAGTCTTCTATAACGAACTTCTTAATAGGGACTTCAGGGCATAACACAACAATCGG